TTGTGTTGTGTCAGAGGATAACATTTCATGCCACTCTGCTAATTTGGATGGCTTTGATCAATTGCTCTGGGGGTTAGAGAACTGTACCAGATATATTATTTTGGTCATTTAAAATAGAAAGCCTGTTGACTTAATTGTAAATATCCCTAATTTGTTAAAATGGAAAACACCTGATTTTTTAAAAAAAATACAGTGTGATGGAAACACCATACCAAACTATTCACTGCAGCATCTAGAAAATGTTTTGAGTACACAAGTGATATATTGCAGTGGTGGGGAAGGGCAGAATCCAGTGGGATCTCTCTGTGAAAAGTCCTCTTGTGCCTCTGGGCAGTTGCAATTATTTTCACTGGAACTGGTATGTTCCAAATGATTTGCAGCTCAATTGTACCCTGTTGAGTATATGGTCACTGGTTGTGTAATGCGATCCCTTGAATTTCATATTACATTATAGCCTTGTAGATGTATTAAGAGATTCTAGGATCTCTTCTACAAGGTGACTCTTAAGCAATGGTGAGAAATTATTCTTTTCCATTCAAGTGTAAGCAGGTCTGTGAGTCTGGGTCCTGGACCTTTGAAGTAATCAGTTACAAATAACTATTTGCTCATAATTAGTTCCTTTTCATAATAATATAGGCATAACTGAATTACAATATGATTACACGTTGCACAGGTGTCTTCATATTTGATGGTGTTCATAGCATATCAGTTACTTTAATAGTCCTTTCAAGGAGAAAAGTGGGGTTAAAATATTTTAAATAAATAAATAATAAATAGTTACAGCAGTGAGATCTCACTAAATGGTGGAAGTGGAATATGGTATAGTCAGATCTTGGGTTCTTCATGCTGCTGCCTCATTAGTGTAGATGATGAGGTGATGGACTAGAGAAGAATGTATTTTGTGTCTCAAACCAGTGATATTCAAGTATTTTCAAAATAACAAAATTACATTACTTACTGTTGAAAACATTTTTAAATGTGTTTTATTTTTCAAAAATGTGCTGTGTAATACTACACCAAATCATAATGGCCATAAACAAAATATATTGAATATTTTGTGTATTTATAAATACTATTTTTATTAAAAAATTATAAATGCATTGTAGTATTTATTTATTTTTATAAATGCATTTTAGTTTCAGAGCAAAATGGAATAAATAACCGAAGAAAAATTTATGTAAATATCAGGTATTTAATGGGCCATGGCAAAGTTGGGAAATAAAAATGGTGCTTGTGCAAGCAACCAGTGAAAGTCAACATCCCAACAATTAGGGCAGTGGCAGTGTTGCCAGAATGGCTGGTGAAACACTGCTTGCCCTGCTGATTCTGCTTACAGTGACACCATTGCAGATCCTATATCTGCAGAATCCTTTCAAGGTAATAGATATTATGAAGATTAGCTGTCATAAGAAGGTAGCAGAAGTTTAGAATCAGTTCTTCATTTCCCATGAAAACGGAGATTACTACCACTTTGACAGGCTTCTTGCATGTGCACTATTATGTGTAGTTCAATGTTGCCTTTATGTATATTTTTTAAATGATCAGTAGCTGTCTTTTTCTTCAATTTTTCTAAGATGGAATGTGTAAGCAACTAAATCTAAGCAATTATTTTGAAGCAATCTCCTAAACTATCGCATTTCCTGAGTGTTGAAACAATGTAACTTCACTGTAACAAGCATATCTGATACTGTACTCTGAATGTTTAAGTTAAAAGTAATGTTAAAAGAACCTGTATCTTACTTCCAAAGAAGTTTGCTTCAAGGTACAGTGGGGTCTCTACTTAAGAACGTCCCTACTTAAGAACAATTCCACTTAATAACAGCTCCATTTGCTAAATTTTGCTTCTACTTGAGAACAAAAATCCAGATAAGAACAGGAAAAAAAAACCTTTCCTGCTCTTTTTTTAACCTGAGGTCATCTTAGGTTAAAAAAGTTCTCCCCCTAGTGGTAGAGTAAGTATTAACCAGCTTTGCATTAGTTCATTGCTTCAATGTACGAACGCACCTCTACATAAAAAAAACAGCCAGAACGGATTAATTGGTTTTCATTCCATTGCTTCAAAATTAGCTTCGTCAGAAGTGCTTTTAACACTGTTCCCTGACCTAAGGGAAAAAAAGAAAAAAAATCCCCCTCTAGTGGTAGAAGGCGGAATAGCAGCTTCCCATTAGTTTCTATGGACGGAAAAGAGCAGATACAGATTAAATGGTTTTCAATGCATTCCTATGGGAAATGCAGATTCTACATAAGAACTTTTCCACTTGAGAACCACCTTCCAATACGGATTAAGTTCGTAAGTAGAGACCCCACTGTAAATGCTGCTGCTTTGCTTAAAATTTGCAGAAGTAAGTGTATCCAAGACAGCATAGGTACATGAGAAAGTGCTTTGTATTGAGCCAGCTCAGATCTAGCTAGCCCACTGGTTCCACAAGCAGTCACCAGTATGGTAGAGCTTTGGTTCAGCCAGGCTACTGGTGGACAATGATTCTATGGCTACAGGAACCTCTGGACACTACATGCATAGTACCTTGACTACTTTTGCACCATGTTCTAAAAGAGACAAACAGCATGCATTGCTCTTGGAGATGATGAACATCCTCTGACTACAACCCCAGATTTGGGATTCTAGACAAGGTTACACTGAAGGGCTATACATTAACTACCTCTTCCCTCCATTGACAACCCCCCCACACACATTTTTAGGAGCAGCTTGAACTTGGGCAGTGAAACTGGTGAATTTCACAGAAACCCTTAGCAAAGAAAAGCTTATCATAGGATAATTGAATTGGAAGATGCCTGTAAGGCCATCAAGTCCAACCCCCTGCTCGATGCAGAAATCCAAATCAAAGGAGATCTGACAGATGGTTGTCCAATTTTCTTTTGAATGCCTCCAGCATTGGCTTCTATAGAAAGATTATATCTTGTTTATTCAGAAGTAAATTTCCTTGACTGTGGGACTTTGCCTGGCTGTAATTAAAAACACAACGTATACATGTGTTCAAGATCTCAGTCCATTATTTGTGTTTAAAAATGTATGTATATTTACATGCTCACTTGTTTCTTTTTTTGTCTACCTGGATATAGACAGCCAAAGCTTTATTGTGTACATATGCACACAATGTTTATGTACATCTTCATTTAAAGAAAATAGCAAAAATCACACAAGATCAGTAATTATGAAAAACTGTAATTGCACAACTATAATCCTAAATATGTTTCTTTGGTAATTTATTTAGAAGCAAGTAGGTGTAGGACTGAACTGGCTAGCTTTTATGTTTTTATGTACCGTATTTTTCGCTCCATAAGACGCACCTTTCCATAAGACGCACCAATTTTTTAGGAGAAGAAAACAAGAAAATATAATCTGTTTTCTTCACTCCATAAGACGCACAGACTTTCCACCCCCCTGTTTTGTGGGGAAAAAGTGCGTCTTATGGTGCAAAAAATACGGTATTTGTTTATTTAATATTTCACCTTTGTCCCAGTAAAACAAGCCTAGATACGTACGTAACATTTAAAAAACAAACACAGATACAAGTAAAAATACAGTGGCTGAAATCCTGTCAGGAACAAATGAAACCTTATGAATTTGTTTATGTCGTGAAACAGGATTTCAGCCAGGAAGTTACTGAAACCAGTTAAACAAATTTTCATATTAAAACAATTGCAGAATTAAAATTGTTTAAACAATTTAAAAACATCTCATTTTAAAAAAAGAAAAAGTAAAACATCCTTCAGAAAGCCGTCTCACAAGTGGCCCATTCAGTTAATACATGCTTGCCTGAGCAAAAGGGTGTTTAACGGGCAATTGAAGCAGAGCAAGGTGAGGGATTGCCTTATTTTGCTTAGGAGGTGGTCCACAGCCTGGGAAAAGCCACCAGAACAGCCCCTGTCGTGTCCTTATATATACCTGTGAAGTTGTAACAGGGAGTCTTTGTTTTACTTTAACTGATTCTTCTCAAGAATTTGGGCACAGAGAATTTGATCCACTAAAGTTTCCAAACACTTTGCAGAGTCAGCTCCATCCAAAACAAGTTGCAGTAATCCAACTCATATGCAACTATGGCATGTGTCACTGTAGTTATACCGTACTAATGCTTACTAACTTTGCAGAAAAGGCGATTTCAGTTTTTTGTGTAAATGTATGTTGAACTGTTGTCATACATCATGCTCTGAATCAAATGGAAAAAAACGTGGTAACTTTGAGTTGAAGAAAATAATAATTTGAAAATTAAACCAAGTATAAATTTCTCATATCTTAATATTTAAAGATTAATAATGCATGAACAGTATTGCTGATTTTTTGTCTAGAATGTCAGTGTTTCTTTAATAGATCTTATCTGCATAAAATCATGAAGAAAATAAGACGTGCTGAAACAATATGCTGAGAATTGTTTCTATGTGTTAGAATGTGTCTTGGTTTTTTTCAGAAGGGGACTGGAAAATGTTACAAACATCATATACATCCCTAAGAATGTGAAATTCTAGGAAGAAGCTGTCTTTGTAGAACTAAGGGTGGTCTTTCCTGCTCTTTCTTGCCAAGGATAGAGAAATTAACATGCAGCTGGGCTTCTCTGATAAATGGATTCTGTTAGGTCACTGAGGGGATGCGTATGACATTAAGTGATTTACAGCCCTTTACCTTAATGAAATTGTTTCAGCAAGATGACGCTGAGAGCTTTTAATGGATAGCTTTTCTTGATGTAATGAAATTGCATTCCTTTGGCATTTAATATAAGGTGTAGTTATTATTTACTGGAGCTTTCCCAGGGCTGTCGTGATTTTACACATGCAGTTTGAAACAAAAAGAGATTTCAGTGGTGGCGTCAAGACCAGAATGGCGTATGACGTTCTTAAGTAGATGAGTGTACAGTATTTAGGGAGTATATATCAGTTATTGTGGCCTAGCTTTCAAGCCTCATCTCTTAACAAGGCTTTCTTATCCGTAATGTTGCCACGCTTCATATCTTTCACATATCACCTAATCTATTTAACAGGCAACTGGATTACAACCAGATCAGCTGTATTGAAGATGGGGCATTTAGGGCTCTCCGTGATCTGGAAGTACTGTAAGTAACTGTTTGTCTCTCTTCTTAAATAGGCAAATCCAAATAGAAAAGCTTATCTGGTAGCTGCAGCTCTGGAGTCAAAATACTTGAATGAAATAATTGATGTATTAGAATAAATCTACTTTGATTAGAATAATGTTACTTTGTTAGATACCAAAAGCATGTGGAATGAGTGGGGATATTCTTAGCAAAAATATTACAATTGCCAAATACAACCATCTAAGGGAAGAGAATACTTTTTTCCAAAGGTAAAAGGTTTATGATTCAGTTTATTCATGTAAACCTGTTTTCCATTGTTCAGAGCCCACACAATTTTATTCCTCCTTTCAGACACATTCTTTTCATGTGAAATATAGAGTAAAGCCTTGAATACACTTATTTCAGCAGCTTTTTCAAAAAGAATTTTCTAGGAGGTAACATTAGGTATTTTTGAGAATAGTTGCTTTCCATATTCAGTCTTTTACAATTGGTTTTGATTCCTGATCTGTTATCTGCAAGCTGTTCACAGCTGAATATCTCCCCAGAAGTTAACAGTACTCTCCTGCAAATAGCAGCTAGGGAAGCACTGGGATGGGGTTTCATATCTTGACTGAACTGGAGATGTTATCTACTGAGTACCCTGACACTTTACTGATTGCTCTGTTTTTAATTTTTCCCATATGGCAATAAGGATGGTAAATCAGTATAATAAATACAATATTTGTAAATAACATGTCTAATAGTTTTCTTTCTAAAATGAGGATTTAACTTGCAATCATGAAATAATTCTGTCAGTCTATTGGGAACATCAGCTGATGTCTGCGGTCCTGTATATTTACTTACCTGAGAGTTTGCCTACTTTTAACTAAACTTGGATAAATTTGCAATGCTAAATGCTGTATAGTTTTCATTTACTCTTTTTAGAAAAACAGTACACAAAAGTAAATTAAAGGAAACAAGAAGTTTCAGTCATAGCTCAGGCTTTGTTCATAGATTATGAAATTAACTGTTTTCAGAACAATGTAGAAGCTCCAGTCCAAGGCATTATTTGACAATGTTGAAACTAACCTCAGGCCAGCTAGAATATAAAGAAGATAATTACTGCAACCTGCCATTTTAAAATACAATTGAGTTTTATCAAAGATGAATAATATCAAGGAATAAAATACCTTTTAAGTGGACAGCACATTTTTAATGTTAGGATATTTGAATTCATGTCCAGCTAATTTGTAGTTCGAAAGCATGTAAAAATGTGAGTAGAGAAATAGGTACCACCTCGGTGGGAAGGTAATGGCATTCCGTGTCTAGTCGCGCTGGCCACTGACTACAGAGACTGTCTTCGGACAAACGCTGGCTCTATGGCTTGGAAACGGGGATGAGCACCGTGCCATAGAGTCAGACATGACTGAACCTTTACCTTTACCTTAACAGCTAATTTGTTTGCTACTAATATATATTCTACTTTATTTTATAAGCCTTTTCCATTTAATTATTCAATACTGACATTTTAAAACTGGATTAAACAAGATATTGCCCTTTCCTTGTTCAAATAGTCAGTATTGTCCCATTGCTCATGAAGGCTTTTTGTTGTGTGCTTGCGAGTGTGTGTGTGTGTGTGTGTGTGTGTGTGTGTGTGTGTGTGTGTGTGTTTACAGTATGTTTATACACAGAGACAAAGACAGAAACAAAGACACACTCCCAAACACACCACAGCCTTCTGAAATGACATTGAAAAGGCTTTCATTTTCATTGTATGTTAGCTAGGTAGTTATAGATACAGAGATAGAGATAGAAATATAGATATATAGATATACAGTATGCACATACACACTTCCAGATAAACATTGAAGAACTTACCTTTACTTATGTCATTTATGGTGAAATCTCCATTTGCTGTTGGTTCAGTTCATTATAAAACAGAATGGAACCACGTAAGGAGATAATGAGCATATATACAAGAACAGCTAAACATTACTTGTAGATGAGCATCTAATAAACAAGGAACAAATTAAGACACATACTTAAGAAACAAAGTTAATTATATCCTTTAGGTTTTGTTCTTTTACAGTGTTGTAACGAAATGAAACAAATGACTAGTTTATCAACTTCCCTAACATCTTGAGCTATATAAGTGTACATTCAAGTGGTTTTCTAATTGTCAATTTTGTGTTAGAATAAGTGCAGCTTTATTTTACAATGTATGCAGAATAGTTGCTTTTTATATTTTTATTCATTTGTATATTTCTGTAGTAGGATTGCACATATTCAAACTTTTTATAGACTTTATACTTAAGTTTCTCAAGAATTAAGTGCAGACATGGCATCTTGTGCCTGCTATTGTAGTTTTGAAACAAACAGTATCTTACTGTTTTTTAATTTTCTTGTTGGTGCTGTGCAGAGGGCAAATCCCATGATATAGAGAAAATGGCAGAGAACAGACAGAGAACTGTTCCACCATTCTGCCAAACTGCTGAATTAAAAAGAGATTGGAGAAGAAATATATTTGAGTCTTGATAAATATGAGATTATTTTGACTCAATAAGACTAAATGATGATAGGAGTACTTTGGGGAACTGAGGCTGGTGGTGAGTAAGCATCATCCATTGAATTAAATAAGTTCAGTGGACTTTTCAGTGGCTTTCAATACTATCACCATGGTATCCTTCTGGGCAGCCTTCCTGAGATGAGTCTCGGATGTTCTGTCTTACAGTGGTTTTGATCCTTCTTGGGTGGCTGAACTCAGAATGTCCTGGCCTCTGGTGTCCCTTAGGGCTCAGTCCTGTCCCCCGTGTTATTCAGCATCTACATGAAACTGCTGGGAGAGATTGTTCAGAGTTTTGGGGTTCAGTGCCATCAATATGCCGCTGATACCCAGCTCTATCTGTCCTTCCTTTGGCTGTGGCCAAAAAAAAAAAGTTGAGAATGGTTGTCCTCTAGGAAGTCACAGGCTACAACAACTGAACAGGGCAGTTGAGGACAGGACATTTTGGATGTCACTCATTTATAGGGTTGCCATAAGTCAAGAGCAACTTGACGCCATGTAACAGCAACAATTATCCCCACAATCACTCCACTTTTAAGATCTTCTGTGGAGACCTTTCTCTCAGTTCCACCACTTTCTCAAGCTTGTTTGGTGAGGACACAGCAGAGGGCCTTCTCAGTGGCTGCTCTGAGGCTTTGGAACAGGTTGCCCTAAGAAGCCAGATTGGCTTCCTCCCCCTTGTTCTTGCATCATCAGACATAGACCATCCTTTTCAGGTAGGTTTTAAGCAATAAATGGGGGTCTAGGAAACACTTTGTTTACGAAATTGAGATATCTTTAAATGTCTTCATAATTGTTTTAAACGCTGATTAATGCTTAATTGTTTTCAATACAGTTTTGCATAGTATTTTATTGTTTAATTGTGAGCTACCTTGGGTTACCTATGGGAAGAAAGGTGGCATATAAATGATATTTATTAATAAATTAAAATAATAAATGAACTAATTGTCAGTGTGAAAATGCTGCTGTGTTATGTGATTCTACCAGCAGCTTTAGAAAAGTAAAATGACCACATGGAAACAGACAAAATCTGTTATTACTAAGTGTCGTAGGGGATCTCATACACTTCAGCAGAATAGTTTACCACATGAAATGTCATAGTGGTCACAACTATACACCTGTTTCGTAAGAAAATGATGTGTGTGACTTTTCAGAAACTATGTTTATTTACTGTTTCTTTAGACTGTGGCATTATTCAAGATGCATATGTTATGGAAAAGATATCAGCAGATATAGCCTCATATTCTAAAATTCACAGAACAATTATCATTAAAATTGATTGGAGGTGGAGGAAACTCATTGGACTGGTGAATAACTCTTACGTGTCTCAGGAACTCTTTGTTCATTTTAATAAAATGTACTGAAAAAGCAAGTTTATGCACCAACCACTGATGTGGAAGAGGCTGAATTTGACCAATTCTATGAAGACTTACAACACCTTCTAGAACAGACACCAAAGAAATGTGTTCTCATTATAGGTGACTGGAATGCTAAAGTAGGGAGTCGAGATAAAAGGAACAACAGGCATGTTTGGCCTTGGAGTTCAAAACAAAGCAGGGGAAAAGCTAATAGAGTTCTGTCAAGAAAACAAGTTGGTCATCACAAACACTCTTTTCCAACAACACAAGGGGTGACTACACATAGACATCACCAGATGGGCAATATCGAAATCAGATTGATTATATTCTCTGCAGCCAAAGATGGAGAAGCTCTATACAGTCAGCAAAAACAAGACCTGGAGCTGATTGTGGCTCTGATCATCAGTTTCTTATAGCAAAATTCAAGCTTAAACTGTAGAAAATAGGAAAAACCACTGGGCTAGTCAGGTATAATCTAAACCAAATCCCTTATGAATACACAGTGGAAGTGAAGGACAGATTTAAGGAACTACATTTGGTGGACAGAGTGCCTGGAGAACTATGGATGAAGACTTGTAACATTGTACAGGAGGCAGCAACAGAAACTATCCCAAGGAAAAGGAAATGCAAGAAAGCAAAGTGACTGTCCAACGAGGCTTCACAAATAGCAGAGAACAGAAGGGAAACAAAATGCAAGGGAGATAGGGAAAGTTACACAAAATTGAATCCAGACTTCCAAAGAATAGCAAGGAGAGACAAGAGGGCCTTCTTAAATGAACAGTGCAAAGAAATAGAGGAAATAATAGAAAGAGAAAAATCAGAGATCTGTTCAAGAAAATTGAAGATAGTAAAGGAAACTTTTGTGCAAAGATGGACATGATAAAATACAAAAATGGTAGGGACCTAACAGGAGCAGAAGACATCAAGAAGAGGTGGCAAGAATACACAGAGGAATTATACCATAAAGATCTGGATGTCCCAGACAATCCAGATAATGTGGTTGCCGACCTTGAGCCAAACACCCTGGAGAGTGAAGTCAAGTGGGCCTTAGAAAGCATGGCTAACAACAAGGCCAGTGGAGGTGATGGCATTACAGTTGAACTATTTAAAATCTTAAAAGA